TAAAGTACCCTTACTCATTCAGAAGGTAGGGGGGCAGCATCTGGGTACCCCGATGCAAATAAGCCCCTCTGCACTTTTTTTTTCTCTTCGGCGGACTGTAACAAAAAAAAAATAATAATTTTTGTCTAATGTCACTTTGCTGCAACGAACATTCGTTCATAACGAATATTCGTACATACTACGGCTAATGAAAATGTGTATTTCGTCCGAATCCCGAAACCAATTGACTTTTGGACCTGAATCACGAAAAACAAATTAACGAAAAATCCGAATGAAAATGAAACAAATTGTTTGCTCGCGCGCATGTCTCTCATTCCCTTCTGCTATGGCCAAAAGCTGGCCGTTCTGAAGAGATAGAGTTCTAACAATTTACTGGTGGTGGTCAGGCTTCCCTTCTTCTTCCTGCCCCCACATTCCTCTTGGTCCATGATTATAATGTGACACAATTCTTGGGCAATAAGAATGGTTGTAAGGCATGAGAGAATAAGCTCATGAGGGTGGTAAAATGCAAATATTTGCCCATGTAGACATTCAGCCACAGAGTGGGAAATGAGAGCAGCTGCAGGTATGTGAAAGCACCACTAGGTTTTGTTTTCCGTTTTTTAAGTGACTACGGTCACTTTAAATTTTGCATAGATGTGAATGTTAACCTTTTCCCAATATTCCATAAAAACCATAAAGAGACTCACTTTCTGACATCCAGGTGCTCATGTATCCCAGGACATAGGAGGGTTGTATGATATTCATGATATAACGACTGTAGAGGTTTAGGCTTGCCTTCACCTCAGCGCCCATCCTTCTTTAATCACAGGACCGTCGGCCTTTCTAGAATGTGGATAAAAAAAAGGTGAGATACTCGATTAAAGATTAGAAATCTTGTGAGAACGCTCCCTTCTCCTTGGAGCCTTTGCTGATCACCTATACTTGGAGAAATATAAAGGCTGACCTCCTACCAAAAATACTAGTTGTTTGACTGCCTCTGGCTTTACCACTTTAAACACCACTGACAGGCAGCAGAATAGAAAGTTACATCTGCATATTTGCGGGGGGTCACAGAGAATCAGAACAGCAGCAAGGCAGCTAGAATTTTCAGAACATCCAGGCAGTCTCTGTATTCCTATCATGGCAAGTCTCCTTTTAAAAGGTAAATCCAAATTTACCCTCAGCTGCTTAGGACCAGCACACTGAATTTAAAGGGACACCATCATAAGAGCTTAATGGACGTTGTCACTGCTGACCTCTCATTTTAGAATGCTAGTTTCCTGGCTGTTATTCTAATGATTCGGCTTCAAAATGTGGTTCTAACACTTTTTTTGACACTCATTAACTGCATGCTTATTCCAGGGCTGTGACTGAAGAACCACACTGAAGTCAAATACAGTCAGGCATGTAGCATTTTCAGAAGTAGGCTAGCAATGGCAGCTACACTTCTCTCTCTCATGACCACGTCACTTTAAGACTCAAGTCTTTAAGAGGTCTTAACACAAAACAAGATTGTTGTAAAAAATGTGCCCAAATGATGAACAAAACTGTAAGCTGACCCTAATTATATATATTTTTAGTTCCTATAATCTTATACATGTGGCAATGATCTGTTTCATCATTTCCATGTTCCAGGGTTGTCATCCATTCTCCTTCACTACTTGGTAAGCTGCTGTCCCGCAACAAGCATATGCATTAGCATATGCTATTAGATTGTAAGCCCCCGGGGGCAGGACCCTCCTTACCATCTTGCCTTGAATTGTATTGTGATTGTAATGTCTTCGTTATATTTTAAAGAGCTGCACAAACTGTTGGCGCTACATAAATCCTGGATTATGATAATAATGCATATCAGGTGTCATAACTACCAATATGTTTATGCTTGGTTGGGATCAGTGACTTAAAGTGATATTAAAGTCAAAAGGATTTTAAGCTATTTCAAATGCCGATGAAATCACTTACAATGGACGCTGTTCTTTGATGCTTAGAAGTTTTAGTTTCCTGCAGAATCAGCTGGTCCCCTGAGCACTGGTCCTGACTTCCTGTTTTAGAGTGACTCCTTTCTCAAGCAGAGTGCTATGCAGTCACCCTTGTGTGTGCTAGTAAGTTGTGTGTGTCTCCACAGACACAGCAAATCAAGGTACTTCCTGCCCCCTTGGCGCCCTCTCCTCCTCCCTTCTCCAAGCTAGTAGATGGACAGTTGCTGGAGACTGCTCTGTCCTTTGTGATCTTGCACTGGAGAGGAAGTTCAGGGAAGCAGAGCTGAGAGACTTAGAAGCAGCTGTTCAGAAACATGATGGTTGTAAGTGAAGTGGGTAAAAATGTAAAGCAATGCTTTGCTGGGTAATGTATATTTGTAGGATCTGGGTTCATTATTGGAAAAAAGTTTGAGAGTTTATTACTACTTTAAGATGGCCATGCACTGCTCAATTTTCAGCAGGGTAATGATGACTCTATGCTATGGGGGGCCCTGTCAACACCACTCCAAAGAAGCCAAGCTGAAGATTCTTGGTCAAACTGTGACTGCAGCCTGAACTGGATCAGCTGCAGTAACCATTTGGGCTATGGTTGCCAGCTGTCAGAACACAATAGCCCAGCAGGGAGATTCCCCTCATCCAGGCTGCGTAGTGTGGATGAAAAATCAAACGGTTTTCTTTTCTTGAAAAACCTGCAAGGGTATGACCAGCTTAAGTAGCGAAAAAAAGATGATAGCTTAGAGCTCACACTTTCAATACAATGGCAGCTATCATATTTCTATCCAGACAGGCTCCCTTTAATATTTTTCATAGAGTATCATTTGTGTTGAGCATCTTTGGTTGTGTTCTTTGTCAAAAGGTGGTGGCAAAAGCTGTAAAGTATACTGGAACTACACCTGGGAGCATGATATGTTTTAGTATGATTACAATTACAATAACTATTTGTAGTACTGTTGACAATATTTATACATACATTGAATGCTGGATTAATGCCCATATTTATAAATATCATGAATACATCACAGCAATTGACATGTAAGAGTAATGCACATAGAGTCACAGCACACATAGTATGTGATAGACTTAGTACTAGGTGTAAGAGTAATGCACATACAGTCACAGCACACATAGTATGTGATAGACTTAGTACTAGGTGGTAAGACAATGCACATACAGTTACAGCACACATAGTATGTGATAGACTTAGTACTAGGTGGTAAGACAACGCACATACAGTCACAGCACACATAGACTTAGTACTAGGTGGTAAGACAATGCACATACAGTCACAGGACACATAGTATGCCATAGACTTAGTACTAGGTGGTAAGACAACGCACATACAGTCACAGCACACATAGACTTAGTACTAGGTGGTAAGACAACGCACATACATTCACAGCACACATAGTATGCCATAGACCTAGTACTAGGTGGTAAGACAACGCACATACAGTCACAGCACACATAGTATGCCATAGACTTGGAACTAGGTGGTAAGACAATGCTCATACAGTCACAGCACACATACAGGTGAAACTCGAATAATTAGAATATCGTGCAAAAGTAATTGCAGTAAGTGCTGCAAAAGGGGCCCAAACCAAGTACTGAGTACATATGCATGCTTGTACTTTTCAGAGGTCCGATATTGTTCTATGTACAATCCTTTTTTTCTTGATTGCATGTAATAATCTACTTTTTTGAGGTTGTGGATTTGGGGTTCTTGGGGTTTTCATGAGCTGTAAGCCATAATTGTCACAATTATGACAAATCACGGCTTGAATTATCTTGCTTTGCATGTAATGAGTCTATCTCATATATTAGTTTCACCTTTCAAGTTGCATTAGTGAAATAAATGAACTTTGCACGATATTCTAATTATTCGAGTTTCACCTGTAGTATGCCATAGACTTAGTACTAGGTGGTAAGACAATGCTCATACAGTCACAGCACAGATTGTATGTCATAGACTTAGTACTAGGTGGTAAGACAACGCACATACAGTCACAGCACAGATTGTATGCCATAGACTTATTACTAGCTCGTAAGACAACGCACATACAGTCACAGCACACATAGTATGTCATAGACTTAGTACTAGGTGGTAAGACAACGCACATACAGTCACAGTACAGATTGTTTGCCATAGACTTAGTACTAGCTGGTAAGACAACGCACATACAGTCACAGCACACATAGTATACCATAGACTTAGTACTAGGTGGTAAGACAACACACATACAGTCACAGCACAGATAGTATGTCATAGACTTAGTACTAGGTAGTAAGACAACGCATATACAGTCACAGTACAGATACAGATAGTATGCCATAGACTCGGGTAAGGCAAGGCACATACAGTCACAGCACAGATAGTATGCCATAGACCTAGTACTAGGTAGTAAGACACCGCACATACAGTCACAGCACACATAGTATGCCATAGACCTAGTACTAGGTAGTAAGACAACGCACATACAGTCACAGCACACATAGTATGTCAAAGACTTAGTACTAGGTGGTAAGACAACGCACATACAGTCACAGCACACATAGTATGCTATAGACTTAGTACTAGGTGGTAAGACAACGCACATACAGTCATAGCACAGATGTCATAGACCTAGTACTAGGTGGTAAGACAACGCACATACAGTAACAGTACAGATAGTATGCCATAGACCTAGTACTAGTATAAACTTAGGTTTTGTGAAGAGTACATTAAGCTGCCATTCTAGTAAGATGTGACTTACCCGTGGACAGCTGATTGTGATTCAGAGCTGTCTTTCTGTACTCAGCTGTCCTCAGACTGGAGAAGGATCAGGAAGCTGCAGCTCTTCCCAGCCTGAGAAACGAAACTAGTCACCAAGTAGCGATGTCCTGCGCATGCTCAGTGTCATCCCAGCTACTCAGCTGTCGTTCCTCTGCATTCTGCACTCCACAGAAACCGAGGAAACGAAAACTAGTCTGTGTGGTGGAAGGAAATGGCACATGAACCGCTGGTACCCTGCTGGGGAATTCCACACAAGGTATTCTGGTGTAGTGCTGATCCCTATTAGGTAAACATGGATCTAGAGCCCTGATGCCCAATCCCTGGCCCCTGGGTTCCTTCTACCAAGGTGCTTGCTCCGGCTAGTGAAGGAACACTATTCCCTGGACTTGGTTCTAGTAGCTAAATCATGGCTCGGTGTATTTCTAAAACACTATTTCTAATCTCACCATCTTTTATTTATTACTATTATTTATAAGTTGTCTTTCTGAGATAAATATCAAATGTAGCACAAGTAGTTTAAGGCTAGGTTCACACCTGAGCTACACAGCGGTTGCCGCGTGGCAATCCCTAAAAAAGGTACCAGTACCTTTTTTTGCGACACACAATGCGCTACTTTTTTCACCCCCTTTTTTGGCACCACAGTCGCGCCGTTAGGAAAGAATGGCACCGCCGGCGCAATCGGCTGTGGTGGGCGAATCCGTGACCGCGCGGCAATCCGCACGGTTTTGTGCACGATTGCCGCATGGTCAGTGAGGAATCGCTCAGATGTGAACCTAGCCTTTAGGGGGCTGTTGGGAGCTCAAATAAGTAATCATGGTTTTGAAAAATGGGACTGTAATAGCAGAGATCTCTAGCTGTCTTATGTAATCTATCTCCCATTCATGACTGTCTCTTGAAGCATGTCCCAAGTCTACAACTAGCATGCTGCAGTTGCAGTCTCTGACCATCTCTTGCAGCATGCCTGCAGTGTCTGACCTTCCTGCTTCCCTCCCGGGCTCATGCTTCCCTCCCTGCTTCCCTCTCAGGGCTCATGCTTCCCTCCCTGCTCTCCCTCCCAGGGCTTATAC